CCGACATGTGCAGTGCACGCGCCCGGCTGGGGGTATGCTATGCGTAAAACACGCACAACGTCCTCTCTTTTTTGTATTTTCTCTCTCCAGGTGGAGCCCACAAAAAATCACCTTACAGAGCAACCTCACTTTTCTCTCTCTTGCCTTCTCTCTTCTCCATATCAACATGCACTGTTCCAAAACTCAATAAAATGCATTGATGTGCATGCTCTAGGAGCTTCATTTAATATTAATACTCATATTTTATTATTATTATCTATTTTATACTTTTAAATATATAACCATTCATTTGTTTGTCTGTGTGTGTGTGTTGGGGGGGGGGGGGGGGGGGCGGGGGGTTTCGTGCGGTTGTGCGAAGGAACGCACCTTGAGTATTAATTTGGCGCACTTTAAGTACACAACTCACGCACATTAAGCACATACAAAACTCACGCACCACGAACCTAAGGTTTTAAAAATGGTTCACTGTAAGTTTCACACAACTGACGCATTTTAAGCATACAAACCACGCACCTTAAGGACGAAAACAACGCACTCTAAGAAGGAAACTCACGCACCTTAAGTTTCAACAACTACTCACATTAAGTACAAACACACGCACCTTAAGTACAAAACTCGCGCATCTTAAGTAAAAAACGCACGCACCTTAAGTACAAAACGCATGCACCTTAAGCACAAAACTCACGCATATTAAGTTTCAACAACTACTCACATTAAGTACACAACCCACGCACCTTAAGCACAAAACTCACGCACGTTAAGCACAAGATTCACGTACCTTAAGTACAAAACTCACGCACATTAAACCACACGACTGCACGGAAACTTAATTATATATATATATATATATATATATATATATGTGTGTGTGTGTGTGTGTGTGTGTGTGTGTGTGTGTGTGTGTGTGTTGGAAAAATAGCATTAAAATGGCATAAAATGACATGTTAAGTGGCTATTTTGTGGTACAATTATCAGTGGTGTCCACTTCCGATTTGGATCGGGTCAAAGTGGATTCGGGTTTTTCGTAATGAGACGAAGAGATTGATATATTGTACGCTCAAAACGGATAATGGGTGAATGAGATATTCATTCTCAAAGTAGACCCATTGAGTTGGAAAATGTAAGGGAAAAGTGAGTTTTGTCCCACATTGATTTGGAAAGAGGATTTCACCCCCCTTTTATACAAGAGCTTTTTTAGAGCTTGTAGAATTGTATAGCATAGAGGCTCTCTCGCGCGGGGGGGGGGGGGGGGGGTGCAAATCAAATTCCAACTAGAGATGACTGATTCAAGCCCAGCCCGAGCTCGTGTGCGCCTGCACCTACGGGCACGAATGTCGTCCGGAAATTGGCTGGCCTTGCGGGCCGACTTGCGGTATCAGTTTTCTAAGCCACTTGACAGCTAGGTGGCCGAGAGCAACGCGAGGTTGAACAACACACACAACACAGAAAATTCTGTTCTTCCCAGCTCCAAAACTCTGCTCCTACACCTTTCTTGCTACTGTGTTTTGCCCGTGCTCTAGTTTGCCGGGTTCGTTCGTTTGGGTGCTCAAACGTCGAACCGTTGTACGTTTTATCCTGGGAAACCTAGGCCACAACGCTCCTAGCACTTTTGGGAGGTGGCAAATAAGGTTTTAAGGAAAGACAGGCACTTTGCCTAACTCGTACATTTCTTTCTTTCTTCTCCTTCTTTCTTGTTTTGGATTATGCTTTTAAGCAAAAATCCGTTCTTTCTTGTTAAATTGGAATTATAATCTAAGGATTATATTTTCTTTTGGTTGATATATATTGGTATATCTTTTTCATAGATATACATTTATATATAACCGTTGGGTCCGTCTTATATATATTTGTGTGTATATATATATTTCGGATATATATATTCAATAATATTTTATATATATTTCGTGTGTATATATATAAATATTATTTTACGGATATTAAATCGATTGTGGTTCATTATCTCCAACAATATATATATATATATATATATATATATATATATATATATATATATATATATATATATATATATATATATATATATATATATTATTCTTTTATAATAAATTTAAGTTAATATCACTAAATTATAAAACTTTTGATGCCTTCCCGCAGCTGTTATACACTAACTATACCAAATATAAATCATTACACTCTTGCCCACTTCCCTTCATGTGAGCCCCTCTTTTTTTGTTTTTCTATATTCTTGTGTATTATTTTTATTAAATATTACTTTTTTTTTTTTAGGATAATATTACATTTTTCTATTAATTTCATTCGAATTATAAATAGTTTTAACCTCCTTTTGTAACTTGGTGCTCCCATCATGACGCCACCCACCATCGCTGCCGGAATTGATGCATCTAGCCGTTCAAGTATTACTACTATTCAATATCTGTCCTTCAATTATTTCCTCTCTATATTATTAATTAAAATAATAAATTGGAACCAAGAAAAAGAAAAGATTTTTTTTTTTTTTTGGAAATTAAGAAAACGATAATACTATAATAGCAGTTGCACTACGTTACTAAATACGGAGTATAAATAAAGCAAACGAACGTTGTGATACATCGGATGCGTAGGTAAACAAAGGGGCCCACAAGGCCACCACACGACACCCGTCAATCTCCTATCTGATGGGGACCACGCTTTCATTTTCATCCCGACTCACCAATTCAATATATAATCGAGACAAATTTCGGACTAAATTTACTGATTCAGTAGATAATATTTAAGAGAAAAGATTAAGGTTTGAATCTTAGTAACAATAAAGTTAAATGCTCTATAGAATCGTAGTTGGAGATTCAACTTTTTGAGAAAGGAAACAAACTAAATCAAATTAGTTAAATATTTACTTTAATAATCATAGGGTTTTAAGTTTAATTTCTTTTTAGAATTTTTTGTTACCCTTACCTTCTTAGTTTGAACTGGTCTGTTATAATAATCTAGGTTAGTTTACCTGGTTAAGGGTACAATGCGAATTTAATTCAGAATGCATTTTTTTTTTTTTTAACTATTACTTGATGGTGTGTATTATGTAAACACTACTCTTGTATAATATTTCGCAAATCACAGATGAGAAGATAAGAGATAAACTGTGTTAGGTGCACTAAAAAGACCTAGTGCAATGGTTTCGAGCGAAAGATGTATTGACAATTCAATAATTAAATTCGTGATCTTTAAGTACGAGAATCACAGTCCATTCATCCAACCATCCAAAAGAAAATAATTTTCAATAGACAGATGCAGGTGCTTTCAATGTCTATTTAATATATATGTAGGCAGGGAACTGACTGCTAGAATCAAATGCAACAGCGGTCTGTTGCATTTTGCCCTGAGAGAGGGAGAACATAGACATAGTGCATAATTTTTTTTATTTGACTAAAAATGTCATTCTTGATTTCTGAATTATATTGACATCTCCATAATTAATTCCCAATTTCAAAAATTTTTGGTTGATATCTCATTGGTATCAAATATTAACCCTTGGTGGGGTGCTGACTCCAAGTAATATTAGTATTATTATTATTATTTTGAAACAATTAATAATAATAATAATTATTATTATTATTATTGTTTCAAAAAAATAATACTAAATTCCCAGCTCAAAACAGAGACTCCACATCCGTTCCTGACTTCCTCTGGAACATTCAACACAAACCCACATTGAAAGAAGACAAAATAACATTAGTCCGACATTATCAATATTTCATTTCTTGTTTAAAAAAAAAAACAAAAAAAAATAAAAAACGAAATTCTCTTGTTTTAAAATTTCACATAATATTGGTGAGGTAAATCACGCAAATTCAGTAGTTTCTTAAGTTAAAAGATTAGATTCGAATATTTACAAAAAGCCTACCAAATTAAATGTAATTTTTACATTAACGCTGTTAAGATTCAATCATATGTTTTTGTTACAATCTACTATCCAATATCTCATTAAACGGTTTGTGATGACATAATATTTCATTTGTTACATCATATAATTCCACACCACACAATCATTCAACTGCACTACTCTTTTTTTGTTTTCTTTCTTTCTTTCTGTAAACAGCTTTATCCTTCCTACTTTGAATTTATATTACAAATATCTCCTCAAGTAAATGTTACTGTCATCATCCATAAACTTTATATTTATTTGTCACTGCTAAAATAACTAAATAAATTTCTATAATAAAATAAAGTGAGAAAAAAAAAGGTGACAGAATTCATACATTATTATCCTTGCCTACAACGCCAAGAATGCTTATCTTTCAATTAGGTTATTATTATAAATAATGAAAAGCCCTTTACCAAACAGTACAGTTTAGTTATATTATGATGACAAATCCCCCAATGCCGTCCACTCCTCTCCGTGACCCACATGTCATGTTTTGTCAACCAACTTTGCAACGTGCCCAAATTATTCATACTTGTACAACTAGAAAAGTTTAAGCCACTTATTTCCAAAATAATCACACAAATTATTCATTTTCTCATGCACCCACCAAAAAAAAAAAAAAAAAAAAAAAATAGACATTACATATTATTTTACGTAATACCAATTAAATTTATACGTTTAAATTATAGTATTGTTTTTGTTTGCACAAATAGCTCTTCATTTGTGAATACGTGATAGATTATGAGCAAGAATAAATTTAGTTTTTGATGTTATATAGATTAACAAAGTAGTTTTTTAATAGGAATTAACAAAGTAGTTTAATGTTTGATATTCCTTGATTAATACATGCAATTCCTCATCCACAAACAAAGCATCAAGGAGATTAGGAATCAATAGTCATAATTAACAATGAAGAATCAAAGAATATATGATATAAGGTCTCTATTCAGTCACTTTTTCTTTCATTTCTTTATTTTCTAAAAAGAAAAAATTAATAATTCCATCACTTTTATGTATCAGCCACCGCACTTTGGGGTGGTGAATGGGGACAGAGGTCCCCTACACCGACACTAATCAATCATGCCAGCTAGGCATGCGAAGAAAAAATTATTAATAATTATATTAAAATAAGATTACTTTTTGAAAAACATAAACAAAGAATATAATATCCTACAATTTATGGATGAATCAAAACGGCGGTATGTATTAGAGCTCTGTCCGTTTCTACTCTATTCCCAACTCTGAAAATTTATATCATACACAGAAATAAACAAATAACTATACCCAAAAAAAAAAAAAACAAAAACAAAAAAAGGAAAGTGGAAATAAAGATTGGATTATTTTGGGGCAACATAAGACTAAAATAAGGTTATTGGCGTGTTTTCTGCAGCCTAGGCCCAATGGTTTTGAGTTCGAATCTTTTAACGGCGCCGGCAGCGTCCCGCATTGTGGTGTCCAGAACATACGGGATTCCGTCAACGGTGAGGCTTGTCGTGTTGACCAGTTTCCGGCAGGGTTCCCGCCGCTCGGCGATTGTCCCGTGGTAATGGAAATACATTATTTGCCCCTCCGTTTTATGCGTCGTCTTCCCCACCGTGTTCTGCGACATGTGCACCCCTGTCGCGAATACGTTCCGAGGTTGCACGGCGTATTTCCGGTCCCGTCGAATCCCCCTCTTCACGTCCTTGTACACCAGCTTCTCAAACCCCCATTTTCTGCAATTCAAACAATATTATATTACCTTAGAGTGCTGTCTCTGATACATGTGAGAGCTAGAACAGAATCAATTTATTCACTGAACAATCAAAGACTAGTCAATACAAACTACTAATTTTAACAATATATACCTGAAAGTTTTTCCGAAATCTTCACGGAGACAGAGCTTGTTAGACATGGGCATTTGCTCGATTGTGAACTGAGAGTAGCCGGAGAGAGAATCGAGGACGGATTTGAGAGTGCTCTTCTTGGGGACGAAGATGAACTCGTCCACATCAAAGAAGAACATCCATTTCGCCTGGAATTTGTACCTATGCAAGCAATCGTTGACGATAAGGAATTGATTGTGATAGTATCCGTCGAATCTTTCTTGATCCCTAATGTCCTGTAGCGTGACGTAGCCTTTCTCCATCCACGGCCGCAGAACCTCCATCACGGCCGGGTGGACGCCGCCGGCGTCGTGGATCACGAAATGCGACTTCTCGCCCAGCATTCTGACATGGTACGCCAGCCATTCCCGGACTCTCTGAGGATTCAGATTCCCGTACAGAGATGACCCACAGTACAGGTAATCGTACTTGGGCTGAGACTGGAATGATTTAGTGAAGTTGGAGAAATCCCGCGGCGTTTCCACGACGGCCTCGAAGGTGTCGGTTGTGTTGAAGTTAGTGTCGCCGCCGCCGTTGGTGGTGGCGTGGATCAGGAGCTTGCCGCCGCTGTCGGCGTCGCCGACGGGAAACGGGAACGTGCAGTTCACCACCACCGCCGTGTATATCCGGCCGTACCCCCAGTCAGGGAGAATCTTCTGGCCGGCGACGGAGAGGGAATCTTGCGATTTATCCGCCGGGACCCACTCGCACTCGTAACTAGGCTTTCCGAAAACGTGAAGCGGCTTAGAAGCTAATCCCATGACGGCGAAGGTGTTGTAGCCGCCCCTGTAGGCCGACATCAAAACAAAGTTATAAGCCGCGGAGCCGACCCCGCGGAACCCCCGTTTCACGACGCCGTTTCCAAGAACCTGATCTCTCTCCACCGCCACCCGCGGCGGCTGCAAGGCCGCGACGGTGGCATTCGAGACAGTGAAGTTGGACTGAAGGGCAGCGGAAAAAGACACAGCCGGCGGCGGGTTGGAAAGGCAAGAGCGCAGATCGGCGGCGGAGGAGAAAGTAAACCGAGCGGGGATAAACTGAAGAATAGTAATGATTGAAAAGAGGAATAACAGAGCCGTAAGAAGGATCTTGAGCTCCGCCGCGCAGTTCCACACCACCCCGACAAACATCTTCCTCTCACCGCCACCGCCACCGGCGCCGCCTTTCTCCTTAAACAACATTCTACGACACCTCCAATCCGTATTATAAAAGCTTTATCTCCAACCTCTAGAAGATCAGAGGAAGGGGAAGAGGAACAGGGCACGTAGAAGAAAACAAAAAAAAAAACCTGTCTTTCTCAATAATAGTGTATGGGTTGCATTAGGAATATGAAGAGCAGCTAGCTGTAACGCTGTAATGAGAATATGGAGTGGCTAATTGAAGGTGGTATTTGATGGCGGTTGGTGGAGGTGGCAACCTCTAAATAATTGTAAAATGGTCAATTAAATTGTGCTGGTCTTGTGCTTGGATACAGTTTAAAACCTCAGCTTCCTAGTATCTAATTAAATTAATCACAATATCGGGTACGAATTTAGCTCAATAGTTCAGTAAATCTTATTTAAGAGAAAATATAAAGGTTCAAACATGGACAGTGGAGATTATGTCTAAAATAGACAGATTCTTTATGCACACGACATTTGGCCATGTATGCTGAGCCATTGAGTCACTATAATTTATATTTTTCAAATATTCTGACGCGTTAAGGTGTGAAAGGGTCTTAAAATTGGGGATTTCATCTTTTGGGGAAGAAAATTAATCACAATTATCCATTTTAGGTTTACTTCACTATACCATGTTATATAAGACCAATGAATTTAAGTATTTAGCAACCAGAACTTACTGTAAATGTCAGATCATGTTGACCCAAGCTTTACCATTCTATTTCTGTTCATTATTATCTGATAAATAAAACTTATATATTTCGGCATTATTTTTAAATTATTAAATACAAAACGAAAGTACCAAAAAAAAAAAAAAAAACAAAAAAAGTTTTATAGTAACTATATTTAATACTCCGTCGTAAAAACTTTTTCGCATATTTTCTATAAGTAGAATGAGGCCTGGGAAGTATCATATTCTATTTTTAAATTTGAATTTCAAACTTAAGCGTTTTACTATTTTTATCAAGAGATTAGTGAAAAAATTAATTGCAAGCAGATATGTTTAACTGGCTTATATATCTGTAAATATTTATACACGGTCAACAAAAGAACTAAATTCATAAATTATGGCTTTTTTTTTTTTTTTTTTTTTTTTTGGAATAAAGGTCAAATAGGCCACCCAACTGCACACCAAATTGCAATTAGGCCATTGAACTCAAAAAGAATGCAATTGAGCCATTGAACAACACAAAAAAATGCAATTTAGCCCAAAATGACTTGTTTACCTGGTGTAGCAAGTTACCGATTTTAAAATTAATTTTTTTAAAATAATTGTTAATAAATAAATAATTAAAATATTTATTAAAAAAAAACTGCCGGAGACGGACCTCCGTCTCCAACCATGGAGACAAAGACCTTCGTCTCCATGGTCGGAGATGAATTCGTCTCCGGCCATGGAGACAAAGCCGGCCGGAGACGATTCGTCTCCGGCCGCAATTTTCTGTTTTTTTTTCTAATATTTTAATTATTTATTTATTAAAAATTATTTTAAAAAAATTAATTTTAAAATTGGTAACTTGCTACTCTAGGTAAATAAGTTATTTTGGGTTAAATTGCATGTTTTTGTGTTGTTCAATGGCTTAATTGCATTTTTTTTTTAGTTCAATGACTTAATTGCACTTTGATGTGCAGTTGAGTGGCCTATTTGACCCTTATTCCTTTTTTTTTTTTTTTTTTTTTTGGTTTTTTTTTTTTTTTCTTGGTAGAATTTGAATCTTGCAATTTGTGGTTATTAGCAAAGTAAAACTGATTAACATAATTTGAGTTCATTGTAGTTAAGTATAATTGAATTTCCTTTTTTCAATAATTATTTCAAATTGCATCATGGCCTAGGTTCATATTACCTCATGAACATGGACGGACTGACCCATGTGCATAAAAAGAATACAGTACACAAAAAATTCAGGTATATAAAAATAATATTACATATTCATAAAAAGGATACATGCCAATTGATCAATTGTCACTTAAACATAACACTTTTTATTTCTTTTGTAAAAATAAAACAAATATATAAAAGATTTCGTTCAAAATATTTTTCATTTAAATATTTTAGAAGATACTTATATTGATATTGTTGAGCATATAGTATATATAAACATAAATGTGCAATCCAACTTAAGTTGTTAGTTGAGATGGAGCATATGCTTCAATTTGGTATCAGAGTCATGCCAAAAGTCATGAGATTGAATCTCTGCGTCACCTGATTAAAAAAGTGTGCATATGCTTCAATTGATTTTTTTTTTTTTGATATATCATTTAATATTTTGTGATGAACTTCACATAGTAATTTTATGGAGATATAGTAATGAACTTATGAATTAACAATGATGTAACGATTTTATGTACCTACTCAATTTACGTACATATAGATTTATTTAAAAAAATAAAAATAATATATATCCATTGATAAGTGCCAAAGATGCTATGTTTATAGGGTGTTTATTAGGCATATTGTGCTATAATTAGAGTCCTTTCGGCCTAATTCATGTTTAAATAACTTAAGTTGATAAAAGTTGGGTTTAAGGACTAATTCTATTTGGCTTTGTAGAAAAATAGCAAAGCATTGTCATTTTCAGGGCATTTCGGCGACACTTCGGTAATCGGAGCATATCTCGAGTTAGGAGTGTCCAAATAAGGTGATTCAAGTGGTCATGGAAAGACAACTTCAAGGGCTACAACTTTGGTGAAGGCAAGAAGGCAAAATCCCAGCAGAAGAGCACAACGCAAGTCACAACGTTCATTGTGATGTGCGTTGTTAGGAAACAGAAAGTACAACGAATTTCTCAACGAACGTTGTGGAATTAGTTGTGAAGCCAGCGCGGAAATTCCAAATTTTCAGCCTATTTAAAGGCTTGTAAAGGGATTATTTAGGGATATCTCTTTTAGCTCTCTTACTACACTTTCATTTTAGCTCTCTTAGATTAGATTAGGGTTAGATTAGATTTCCATTTCATCAATTAGAATAGAATTCAATTGTTCTAGCTTGAAGACTACTTGATCTACATTGCTTCATGGATTACAACACTAGAGATCAAAAACTTGGGTGACATTTCTTCTCCTTATTCATATTTCATATCTAATGTGTGTTTGTGATCTATTGATGATTATGTATTGCTAGAATTCTAGAATTTGGATTGAGATTGGATTTAGATTGTGCTTTTATGCTTTGATTGAATGACTGATGAGATTGGATGCTTGAATGACTTGTATGACTATGTTGTAGAGGTGTGTATGATTGACCTCTCTCCACTGAGAGCTCCAATGGAGAGAAGGGTGTGAGAGTTGGAAATGAGCAAGAGATTTCCCTTCTCCTTAGTCTTACCCTTGCAATTCCCGGTAGTTCGGGAAGGAGACGGTAGACCGCCCACCAACCGTTTGATAGAATGTCTCACCCGACGTAGGGATCGAGAGACTAAGTCCTACGCGGCTTAGTATTAGGTGCCTTAGTTCTCCCTTAGTCTAGCCTACTCTTGCATCTCGTTCTTGACTACCGTTATACCAATGAAAGCATGATCCCAATTTCAATCTCGTCCAAATCCCCGTTTTATCTTCTAGTCTTACTTACTTTGTTTAGTTTAATTTTTTAGTTTTCCCATGCTTGCACAAACAAATTACCATACTCTCCTATCTAGCACCTAGCATATCTTGTTGACACATTGTGACAAAGGATTGTCTTGCAATTTACTTGCTCTGAACTGGCCATCCTTGAATTTGACACTCCGGAGTTCTACCATTCCCGTTTACACTTACACACATTTCCTCTCACTCAAATACACAAACATCATCCATATTGTATCATTTAATTAAGATATTTCAATAATAGATTTCTAATGATGTATTTTGTAAACATTAATTGTGTTTGTACAAAAAAAAATAAAAAAAAAAAAAAAAAAAAAAAAAAGAAGAAGATAAAAATAAATTTAAGTTAGGAAAAAATAGATATTCTTCCCAAAGTTAGGAAAAAATAGACATATATTCTGTGCATGTAGCAACATACACCATTCCTAAATTTTAAAAAATTGAGATTTCATTGAGTCCCGTTGATATTTTAAATTCCTCATTAGTCATTACTGGAAAAGGGAAAAAAAATGCATTGAGACAACATTGACCTCGTATGTATTTATTCTAAAAGAGCATTTAAATAGAGGATGATTTGCCATTTTTTGAGCATGTATTTATTTTAATTGACACTCAAATTTTGAGGATTATGAACACAAATTTAATCGAGGAAAAGTTGAAGATAGAGACCAAAGAAGAGAGTGGGTGGGGGTTTATTTATTCATTTCTCTATTTGTTGTAAAATTAGAGAATAGTGGTATAAAGTGGTTCGCTCAAATAGAAGGTCATAGGTTCGATTTTCATTGGAACGGTATTGACTCTTTGTATTTCAGTAGGTTGTGAATGTAGTAACAGACACAACATTGTAACAAAGTCAGGAGTATTAAATTTAAAAAAAAAAAAAAAAAAAGAACATGTTGTTATCCAAATTAGAGAAATGACTAGTGAATGAATTATTTTTTCTTTTTTTTTTTCAGTTTTAAAATTTTCATTTTTTAAAAATAAAGACCTATTTTTTCAATTACTAAAGGAATATTTAGTTTTTTTTTTTTTTTTTTTTTTTTTTTTTTTTTTTTTTTTTTTTTGTCAACATGTATTTCAGCATATTCTGATTCCGCACACAATCATAGTCCTCCTAATCATAATTCCTTACCCCTTTTCTTTTAGCAATATTATTATATTCACCCACTACCCTCCACCGCAGCCAATAAAAAAAAAAACACAGAAAAATAAAAGACAAAAACCAAAACAAAATTGCGCTCTTTGAAAAAGTTAATGACTAAATTTTATATATATAGTTGATTTAATTACACTATGTTTGTTTGTATGTACATAAATTTGCAACAGAAAAAGATAGGCAATCAAACCACTGGAGCAGTAAAAATTAATTCATTCTTCCCAAACTAGTAATAATAAATCCTACGAATATAATGGCACGGACCAGACATATTTAACTAGTTCAGTCGGAAGGACGCCAAGCTCTTAATGTTGTGACCTTGCTTTTAGGACATTAATCTAGTAAATAAGAAAGTACACTTAAAATGTGCTTCTAAGACTTAGTTGAGTTTAATTTTTATTACGAATATTGAAGGTTTAGATTTGATTTTTTTTTTTTTTTTTTTGTGTGCATAAAAAGATACATTTTAGTGTTAAATCTCGAAGCTTGATTGACTCAATTTAGAGAAACGTTAAGTGTCTAAAGTTTTACAAGATTTTTGCAAAGACAATTATGAAAGAGAAGGAAGAGAGAAGAGGAAAAAAAAATGTTGACAAGAATTTTTTGAAAAAAAATTAAATAAGAGAATGTACGCGTTTAGTTGATGCGTGCATTTGTCTAACGCACACATACACTAGTATCTTTTTTTTTTTTTAGGAATAAGGGTCAAATAGGCCATCGAACTGCATACGATAATGCAATTAGGCCATTGAACCTAAAAAACCAACAATTAGGTCCCTAAACTAATCAATTTCAAACAATTCTTCCAATTTGAAGGTTTCCAACAGGTCATCTCCCAAATTAATTATTTTTTAAAAAATAAATTTTAAAAATTAATTATTTTTAAATTATTATTATTTTTTTTTAAAAAAAAAAACCTTCCTGTTTTTTTTTTTAGTTGAAATAATTAATTTTTAAAATTTATTTTTTAAAAATAATTAATTTGGAAGGATGACCTGTTGAAAACCTTCAAATTGGAAGAATTGTTTGAAATTGGTGAGTTTAGGGACCCAATTATTGGTTTTTTAGGTTCAGTGGCCTAATTGAATTATCGTGTGCAGTTCAATGGCCTATTTGACCCTTATTCCTTTTTTTTTTTTTTAAGCAATGGGTCCCACCCAAAAAACTTGAACTTATAGGAGAAAAAATTTAAAATTGTGTAAAAACTCCATCCTCACCGGTTAAAAACCTCAGCTTAAGTTTTTTCATACGAAAATCCTCTCCAAGCAACTTCTGTTGGGGATGCTCTTATTTTCTCATAGATCTAAAGACGTATTCGGTATTCCTAAGGTTTAGGACATAATCCGATGACACTGGATTTTTTTATTTTTATTTTAGGAAAATACTACATGTACTCTCTTTTTCTACTCACAACTTGTACTTTCTCACACAAAATCTTGAGGTAAACATTTGTATTGGGTCACACATTAAAAAAGTAGCATATAAGTGTCCGCCACATCAGGAGTAAAATTTACAGGGTGTTTGGTTGGAGTGAATTTAAATTTCATTCCCACTTAATTCCAACCTAATTCCAAAGGCCACTAAATTCCTTTGTTTGGTTGGAAGGAATTGCAATTCTACTCATTTTCATGGAATTAAAATCCCATGCCCCCCTTGAAATTTTAATTCCATGGATTTTAGGAAGAAAAAAAAGATAATGATGAGACAAATTACCCCTCCCATTTTTTAACCTAAAATTGATGCCTGCCAATAACAATGGACATTTTGAACTTTAAACTATTTATTCCCTTTTAATTCCCATGTATACCAAACATTAGAATTGAAATTCTCAGTAATTTTATTCCTGTAAACCAAACACTGGAATTTAAATTCCCACTTTATTCCCAGTAATTTCCATGTAATTGCAATTCCTTTCTCACGTAATTCTCTCTCTCTAACCAAACGCTCTGTTAAGGAGTATGATTTGAGAGTCCATGTAGTAGAACTCTTTTTTTTTTTTTTTTATCAATTTTGTTTGGAAATAATAATAATAATAATAATAATAATAATAATAATAATAATGACAGTTAAAAGTGGTCATGTTTTGGTGTTGAAAGGTGAGGTGACACCTAACCAAACATTGTGTACTTTGTCGCTTTCTATTTGCTTTGGTATACTGAAACAAGTGTTTCTTGAGATCAATTAAAGCTACTCCGGTTGACTATTTTTTTGGGAAATACACAATATTATATTACAATTTCAAAACTGATGAAATTAAATTTCATAAATAATAAGACAAATAAATACCTAACCTATAAACATTCAAAGTGAAATTAAGTTTTTTTTGTTTGTTTGTTTGTTTTTTTTTTTTTTTTTTTTTTTTTTTTTTTGGTGGTTGTGTATTAACCAATAGATTAGAGTCATACTCTGAATGTTTATCACAATAAAAATAATGGTTAGTAGCATCAAGAAGACTGATATATACTAATTTTTTTTTTTTTTTTTTTTTTTTTTTTTTGGTTTGAAAACACCTTTTCTTCTTATATTATTTATTTGCTTTACACGTTGAGAAATGTGTAAATTTATGAGTGGGTAATAATAAATAAAAAAGTTTATAAATTTATAGAAGGAAATAATATATTTTTCATTCATATAAAAAAAAGAGATGATATTTTTAGTCCATAAGTTATATATATGGGCTATGTTTGGCAAACATAGCTGAAAAGGTAGTTGAAAGCTAAGAGGCTATAAGCTAGAAGCCGAAAATTGAAGAGTTGTTAATTAACTAGCTTGATTATGCTTAAAAGTGTTTAATAAAATTAACTTTTTGATAAGCTGATAAATGTAAAAAGACTAAAAAATACATTTTCATAAAATTTAAATAATGTGATTATTATATTGTTTTTATATTATTAAATATATGAGATATATATTAAATTAAAACAAAAAGAAAAAAGTTTTAAAATTGATAAGGGTAAATGACGTCATTTATTTATGAACTGACGATTGGAGTTAGAACTTTAAAGGAGTTGCTGGACGATGAAGCATTGCAAAAGGAGATAAATAAAAATATAGGAGAAGAGAAAATGCCAAAACGATTTTAATTGAGCCGGGTAAAAGATGTCATTTATTTAAAATATAAGGATAAATATGGAGAAAAAAAAAGTTAGAAAGCCCCTAATTTATTTTTGAAACGCTACCAAAAAGAGCTTATAACTTATTAATAATAAGCTCGGCCAAACAGACTGTAAAATCAAAGCTTATGTTGTTGGAGGTATAAAATTAAGCATTTTTACTTTTTTAGTCTTGCCGGAAGGAAATTATTGAATGATTAACAAAAAAAAAAAAAAACAATTAATGAACCCTAAATTTGGTAAGATCTGTTTAGTCGTTTGTATAATCTTCTTCATTTTACAAAATATTTTGACCAACTTATATTATTCCAAGTTAAAAAAAAAAAATGTGAGAAATAATCAATTTTGTAACTATTTTTTATTTTAACGTTAAACTGATTTTCACATTTTTTAGGAGTAAAGACATTTTTGGTCCTAGACTTATAGTGGCACGGACAATTTTAGTCTTCTTTAAAAAAATCAAACAATTTGTGGACACTGTTATTGTGACAAGGACAATTTTGGTCCTCCGTCAATATTCCCGTTAAATGCTCCGTTTGAGAGGGGGTAATTGTGTCTTTTCAACATTACCCTCTTCATTAAGTGCTCTCAATCCACATAGAACTCATACCCCGCTGGGGAGGGCCTATCCCGGTGAGCCAAAAGGGCGGTGGGTCGGTGAGTCTGACCGCCAAAGCCTGCATAAGCGCCAGCCACTGCATCCCTTGCTTCAAGCTGAAGTCGATGACGTGGACTCGGCTGCAATCCGTGAAGGTCTCGAGAATCGCTTGGTTAGCCGTGAAGTGCGCGAATTTCAGGTAGAGGCATGTCTCGTAAAAGTGCATATGGAGGTCGTCTGTGTAGGAGGATTCCAGGGTGTATTGTGGTTTCTCCACCACTAAAATCAGATCCAGCTGAGGATTTCTGTCTTTGGTATTACCGAAAATAGCATCGCCTGGAATCACCCTCAAATCATCATCGGAAATCCTCCTATTACCATTTTCGTTGTGCTTATTACTGGAAAAGCTTAATATTGGAAGATTCGCCGGTGAGCATCATCTCATCGCCGACAGCGCTACAGGAAGACTGCAGGGAAAGCACGTCGAAATTGGGGGACGAAGAGGAGGCGTTGAACTCGGAGAACATGCTTTGGATCCAGCCGGTGAGATCAGAAGGGTTGTAGTGAACCGTAGAAGACGAAAGATGGGAAATCCCGTCTTCCCGACCATCTCTAGCTGCTCAAGCTTTTGAGCCACGTCTGCCATATCCGAAGTCTTCACCTTGTAGCCCAACACCGCCAGTAGCTCATCCATTCTGGCATCCAGCGGATGTTCTTCCCAAATCTTGCCTTTACCCATTGAAGACCTCTCCACCTTGGGTCGATCGCGTTCCCTCTTCATTCTACTCTGTGATTTCAAAGAGTTGAGAAATTTACTGCGGATTTCTGCTCAACAAAGCCAGATCATTTCATGTGAGTTCCTAAGCTTTTCAATTTCTAGGTTTTTGCTCTACAAAGCCAGATTATTTTCTCTAGTTTCTATGGATTCGAGAAAAAAAGAGTGTTTGTGACAAAGGCGCAAGCTTCAAGATAGCAAAGAGAGAGAAATGTTGAAAAGACGCAATTACCCCTCTCAAACGGGGCATCTAACGGGAATATTGACGGAGGACCAAAATTGTCCTCGTCACAATAAGAGTGTCCACAAATTGTCTGATTTTTTTAAAGATGACTAAAATTGTCCGTGCCACTATAAGTGTAGGACCAAAAATGTCTTTTACTTTTTTTTTTTTAGTTATGAATAAAGTAAGTCAATTAAAGCATTTTGTAGGAAGAAAAATACTAAAAAAATTGATAAAAAGATTTTTACAAAATTAGTGCTCATGCATTTTTCCTTTAAACAATATTTGTCAAATAAAACTAAAAACACAACATAAATAAATAAAAAATAATGAACTAATTTCACACCACATATATGATATATATAACTTAAAGCACTAAAAAAAAAAAAAAATACTATTCCCTTTGAAAATAAAGTAGGGGAAACGTGTTTACACACAAAACACGCCATGCTGTCTATCAAGACCAAAGCTGGCCATGAGAGCGAGTGACGCTTCTCCATCTGGCTGCAGCCTGCCGTCAAGCTGCGCTATTGCGCCAATCTTCCTGTAGCTAGTCACAGGGATGAAGTTTAGGAACAATGGCACAAGATTGAATCTCATCAGCGACATTGTGGAGTAACTAAGTGAGGAGGACTCAAAGGTCTAGCTTCTGTATTCAGCTCAGTTACCATGATTTACATTCTTTTAAATGTTCTGTCGAACCGGAACATGAGACGCTCTTGCCTCTTGAGATTGAGAATCTTTTGAGAACAACATATTATGACCCTAACTGATAAATGATTGCAAAGATATAAATTAGACTAAATTGTTTATAGCTGATTAATTTTAATTAAGAAGTCTAATATTTTACTTTTACAAATTAAATTTAAAATTTTATAATTACTAAATTAACCGTGTGACTGACGTGATTAGAATTGCCTTGCAGATGCCTTCTTTGTTGTTTATACCTTACGATGGATTAAGGCGGGTTGACGGTGGAAACGATCTGAGTGGTCTTACCCTCCTTTATTACAATTATTAATCCATACCATTGAAATTTGAAATGATTGATAACAATAAAGTTTTAATTAGTGTGATTATTGTGAAATGACTAATCAACTTCCATTATATATTTATGAATTAATTGTCGGATTTGTATAGCACGAAACACGCGTACGATAACTTGTTCTCGTTATTCAACTCCTTTCAACTTTGAACTCCCACAAGATATTATGGATGGCCACATCTCGTTCACAACTTCTTTGATTTTTTATTTTGAAAAATTACATATTATGAGCAAAGCCAATCACTAAATTTAGCGGTGTCAATACTATATTAACTTATTTTTTTTCCATCTATAATTGATAATTCTCTTATGAAAATCAAGTTTTGACAAAATCACATTGTTATGTAAATATTTTATTGGGACCTACATTAAAAATGTAACTTATCAGAACCTGTCACATAAAAAGCAAAATTATAAGAGTAAAATTTGAGACTACGTATACTAAAACTCATATTGAATATAATAGTAGTGCAATTCGTAGATTACCGCTTTCAACATCGGAGTGGGTGACACTGTCTGACTTTGAGTTTGGTATTTCAGTGAATACAACCTCACATGTCCCCATTACGCATTCAATTCAACCATTCTCAAAACTTGAAAGTGAAATCACATACTGTACAAAGCTAGAAGAGTACGTGATGCTGTTTATCTTCTCAATTATATAAGAAGACAAATTCAACAGCTGTTCCTGGCGTCAGGTTAGCCTTAACATGTAGGCAGTATATGCCGTATTTAGAATAAGAGATCAAAGTTAAATTTTGATAACAATAGTATAAAAATTATGCGTAAAATATGCCAATGCCTTGTCTACACTGACATTTAACTTTATCTATTGAGCAATTGAGTTACTGTGATTTGATTTTTATCCCAACTCAAATCATAGGCGGCTGAGCTTAGTTTTCTCTTGGTTTTCCTTCACTTTTTTTTAGCTTAGATTAGCTTAGGTTTACATTTCCAACTCATTGCCCAAGCTTGTAACAAGGATGAGAGGGGATTTAACTTCAAATTTCACATCATTTCAATAGAGAAGCTTTTCTTTCCCTTCTTTTATTTTCTTATGGAATGTTTATGCTTTACCCTTATACTTTTGTGTTCTTTAAGCTATTGAATCATGAGTAGTTAGTTTATGGGCTTGAGATAAAGTTGTATTATCTATATTGATGCTTTATTTATGATTAATGCATAATGGGTAAAATTCTAACCTACGGTTCATGTGTTTATGAGTGTGTTTTGTTTTAATCTGGTTAATGTTTGGTGTACACATTCATTAGCATGTATTTGGGGGATTATTTGTCTTAACGAGAATTGAGTGATAAATCCGAGCCACTCCTTGCATAACCTAATTTCCTCCCATGAAAATAGAAGAAATTGGGGGCTTTAGATGCTTTATGTGCTTGATTGACTTGGAATTGATACACTATGAGAATGAGACAATTCTTTGTTCTAATCATTGTTTATTTGGTCACGGAAGTGGTGTTAAACTAGGATACTTACCTGCATTCCCGTTTGATTCCTTAGTTAGTTGTTCTCCCTAATCCCATAGGTTCTTGAAGCATAAGATAATGTCCCCTAGCTTGAGTAGTCATATTTCTTTATTTCGTGTTTATCTCTCTTTTATATGTGTTTATTTCCTTTCAAATACTGTAGGCACACAATATTAACCGATTAAGATTTGATGACCATGTATTGTATTCACAAATTCCTTATACAGTTGTTATGTGTTTGGACTTAGAAACACAATTTATATTCTAGAAATTCACAATTTCAATACTAAAAATACACAATTTATACGCTGTTTAGGACCATGATCTATCTTGCACGGTGAACCCTGGTCCATGGTGTAGATCATAGTCATAGTATAATGATTGTATTTACAAGAGATATTTGTATTTTTAATAGTTGATGATTAGATCTAATTGATTTTGAATTCCGGGAATCAAAAGTGCATTGATAAAACACAATAGTTAAGGGATTAATTAAAATTAAAATGTACCCATATTTACAAGAATCAAAGTGATAAAAGAAGAAAAAAAAAAAAAAAAAAGACAAGTTGTAGAAATTGTTGTTAGGGGCAATGGAGAAATTAAGAATGATTTGATTAGTGTAAACCAATGAAGATTAAGTGTATTTTTATGTGTCAGTCTGGTCTTTTCCAACAACCTATTTGCTGGACCGAAATTAAAGTTAAAAATAATATATACAGCAACAATTAAATCTAGAGAAAGCTCATCATCATATATTCATATTCCTTTCCATATATGTATATATAATTCGTCCTTAGCTTCATGCATCCACGCATGCACGCACAACGTCCATGATTGGAGCTTGGCATACGGGGCACTTCCCATCACCCCACTGTAACTCCTGGGCACACTTGTAGCACGTGATCATATGTCCACATCTGAAAACCGCAACAACAGATAAAGTGTTTCTGTCTCAACTAAAAGTTTAAACTAATAACGGGACTGCAGAATTACCTGTAAAGTAGAGCATTGACTACCATCTCGTGGCACATAATGCAGTTCCGTTTGCTTTTGCATTCATCAACTTTGCTTTTGCATTCATCTTCGCTGGGGACCTTTACGTTATCTTTACCTGCATTGAAAGGATATATATGATATTTACAATAATCTGGGATTATCAAGTTGGTAATCAGGATAATTGTGTATACTGGGATAATATAAGCTTACCTAACTGATTAAACGCGGATACAACCTCGTCCTTGATCGAATTCTGTAGTTTCACTTGCATGTCTATGCAGCTGATGAGTGCTCTTCGTATTTCCGACATCTCTTGATGGAGTTGCTCCATGTGTCCCATTAGTCCATGTATGAGTTTCATTTCCTATAAACACAGCCAAATTCGTCAGACTGTTGACTTAATAATGATAATGTTACAATTAAGTTTGATTCCCAGCCAGAACGTCGACCTATTGACCCTCTTGATTTAAACTGGTCCAGTAGGTTGATTGTCTTTTGACGGCTAGGGTTTGCACATACTCGGATAGTGACAGTAACTCACATTTTCTTGGGAGAAAAAGGTGGATGATTGGAATTGAGGTAAAGCGGTTGATGCCATCTGATCATAATCATCCCTAATGTCACATTCTTGATTATTGCTCCAAGTTTGGGTGGAATCGTTACCATCTCCATACTCGTCCTCTTCTTGACAAGTTTTTCTTTCTCCACCACTCTGAACTCCCTCTTCCACTGCCTTTTCGCCCTTGTTGTCAGTCACTTGTTTCTGTATCTCATGGTTCTCTGGGGGTGATTGTTTTTGCGAACGAGTCATCATGAGTTGATCTATTTTGTCTCGCAAACCACCTGAAAGAAAATTGGAAACACTTTTCCTGCACACACATATGTATATACAGTAGTAATGAACAAGAAAATTAACGTCTCTTATAATTCAATTGGTATCAGAGCTTAGGTTGTACATACTTACCTTTGGAGCAGTTGTTGTAAGTCATTATTGAAGTAAGGGTCAAGCATCTCTTGATATCTTGCTTGCCTGAGATCTTCCCATTCGCTGCGTGGGCGGGAAACATCATTAATCCATTCATGGCTGGCCTCCTCCTCATTAGAAATTACTCGTTTCTGGACATCTTCTTGATGATGATGATGAGGCTGGAAATGGAGGCGTAGTCGATCCCATCCGTTGTGTGTGTGCTGGGAAAAGTCTCTTATCCAGCCCCAGTCGTTTTCATCCCAATCGTTCGTCCATTCGAGGCTATTCCTTTGTTGTTCTTTCACATTACTCCCAGTTTCTTCACTTTTGCTACAGGCTGAAGGTTTTGTTGTTTCTGCCGCAGCTTCTGTTAGCTCAGGGATCACTACCTGCAACGCCCTTTCAGCCTTGCTGGGTTTCTTTGAACTCTCTTTGGGACTAATATTTGAGTCAGTTTGTTGACAGTTTTGGCAAACTTTAATTTGATCAGATTTGGTAATGTCTTTGCTGCATTGATTTGATAGGTCAGTTGTGGCTTGAGTATTTATTGTTTCCACAGGCGGCCTTGTTTTCTCACCCGCTTCGCGACCACCTTGTTGATGATGATGATTCTCTTCTTGCTTTGATGTTGTTGAGGCATTAGTATTATTCTCCTTCTTCTCTTTCTTCTCCCTCTCCTTCATTGAATTTTTGCGCTTGCAAGTGGGAATTGCAGGTCTACTATTGCAGGTGTCTGGGCTGTTGCTGCAGTCAGCTTCTTTGGAAGTTGGTTTTGAGTCTGTTTTGAATTTCTCCCTAAAATTTGTATCACCTTAGTTGCATTATATATATATATATAACAAGATTTACGTGGTTTGAAAAAGTGCTTGATTATTGAGATACCTGAGATGCATTATAGAGGACTGAGTGCATTTGATTGATTGAGGCGACATGCAATTAGTGGGTGCTGAATCTTTCACTTCCGTCTCGCGTCTTAGGAGCTTAAGCTTCAACATAGCCTGATGGATTTTGGAGTGAAGCATAAGAAGATGGATATATAAATCTCCATTAAAGTTAACTGAGAAATGAATTGAAGATTTTCAACTAAAAACTTAAGCTGATAGTTGGATTGCACATTAATGATTATATGCTCAACAAGAAATAAGAAGTTGACCTGAATGCGGCCTTTTTGCTGGAATTTGGATACGGCTTTGCGCCCTGAAATACTTTCGAGCTCTCTCACTCTTTCTCGCTCCATTTGCATAAGCAAGTCGGTGAACGCCCGGCGGCCTCTGATCTTGCGAGGCGACGAGGGGATGAGAGGGCATAAACAGCCGTGCTCCGACGCGGAGGTTTTGACACGGGGCAGCGGCGGCGCTGCTTCATTCATTGCGGCGGCGTTGGCGCTGGTGTTGTTGTGGTCGCGGTCGTGGCTCTCTTCGCCGCCGCTGGAGGTGAGTTTCTTGATGATGTCTATTACCCTCACCCTCTCGCTCTCCGTCGCGTCGGAATCTCTCCCGCGAATCGACGGCGGCGCGCTCATCACCCGCCGATCCGATTCCCAGTCCGCGAACGAAGAGTCGGCGTCGTTCGTGGGCGTGTCGGTTCCATCCGAGGATTCATCGCAGGCCACGGAGCTGGCCGGAGCGGGAGGGATCTCCACGTTCTCCGATAGCAACGTCGCCGCCGAGTTAGTTCTGGTGGAGCAAGTGGAGGAACTATTGGTCAGCTGCGGCTGCGGGGTCTTCTTCTCCGCCTCGAAATCTTTCCATCTCTTCACGATTGAAGACACCACCCTCTGAGCCTCCAACCCTTCATTCTCTTCTTCCCTTCTCCCCGACGACAACACTTTCTTCCTAGCTCTCTCCCAATTCTCAGAACCACTCTTCCCGCCGCCGCTCTTTTTCGGGCTCTTTTGATCTTCTGCAGCATTACCATTACTATTACCATTATCATTACTATTACTATTACTATTCCGATCGTTATTATTATTATTATTATACTGCGGTTTATGAACCCACAAGTCCGTGAGGTCCACAACCTTTTCGTCGGCGTCGGCGTTGGACTTTCTCGGATCGCCGGAAATACAAGAATGCACCAAATCCTTGAGATTATCCGGGAAAGAGTTGGACCCTCCAGAACTGCAACGCTCCCGGCGGCTGTGATTCCTCATCACGCATCCAAACGAGGCAGGTGAAGAGGAGGACGCGACTTCCACTTGAGAAGAGGCCATTTTATTTTTCCCGCAATTCAAATAAACAAGAACAATTAACAATGGCGGATTTCCAGGGAAGACAACGACGACGATGAAAGGATATCAAGAAACCAACCCATCGCCGGGTACGCTTCAAATAACAAAAAGACTGAAACCGGAAACAAGCTAAGCTAAATAACGCTACCTAAGAATCCATATATTCAGAGCATGCATGCAGCGAATTAAAGTTTAATTTGTGTAAGGTAAAGGAGGAAGACGATATGATATGATGCAAATTTCCCTCAAACTAACATTCATTCATCAACTGGAAAAAACTGGCAATTAGGAATTGGATTAGAAGAACCTAACGTTAACTGCCCCATTGTTGTTGTTTGTCTTTGGATAGGATTGGAAACTAACATTGGAATTGAACCTACGCCCTAACAAACTGGGATAAACTGCATGCAGAGATGGATTCAGGGATAAACAGAAAGAGAGAGAGGTACAAAATGCCGACCGCTCAATCTTCCTCCGATCAATTCGTGGTAGACTCTCATGCAAACACACGAGGATACAATTTGAAATTTATTTTTTTTATTACTTCCCTTTGGTGGATGAGAATCCAATTCGGATTTCTCATTAACTTCTAACTTTTTATATTTTTCATAATCTTACTTTATAAATACTTTTACTAAAAATGTCCATTCTTATAAATGGTAAGAATTGAATGATCATGATTATTATTATTAATTTAGTCAACTTAAATTCAAATTTTCAAACCGCTAGACTTTCAATTTTACTAAAGACTTCGAAGATTAAGGAATAAAAGTTTAATTTATTCTAAGATCGAGAGATATCCTAACTATTTGGTATGTTAATTGTAGCGGTTCATGAAAATAACATGTTTTAATTGACGTCAACTGACACCAACTTTATAGTCAATGTTTCAACCTCCAAACCTTTAAGCGGTATTTATTTTTGGGATAAGGGTTAAATAAGCCTTCAAAATTTTTTAAAAACAAAAAAACAAAAAAAAAAAAAAAACCTAATTAAAAAAAAATAAAAACTTATCGGCAAGTTTAGAACGGAGAAGCCAAATGACTTCTCCATCCGTTACAGAGAAACTCGCAAGCTACTTCGTCCATGTCGAACTGGATGGCTCCGTCCAGTTCAACATGGACGAAGAAGGAATGGTAGCTGCTACCATGACATTCTGTTTTTTTTTTTTAAATGTTAAATATAATTATTTTGATTTATTATTTTAATAATTTTTAAAAATATTAATCTATGTGGCATGTGACTTGAATGTAACATGTTATCATAAGTCAAATTAGTTAATTGTACATTTTTAATAAGTGTCAATGTTCAATTGAATGTTTTTTTAGTTTGAGAATCTAATTGCATTTTAGGGTCCGTTTAGAAGGCAAGAAAATGATTTCTGGAAAATGTTTTATAGAAAATGAGTCATTTTTCAGAAAACATTCTCCTTTCCGGTGTTTGGCTGCACAACGGAAAATTGTCTTTGTATGTTTGGTTCATTTTCCAGAAAATGAATAGAAAATGATCAAAATTGTATACTTCAATACTTTTTGTTTTTTTTGTTTTTTTTTTTTTTTTTAATTTTATACCCTGATGTGTTCTTCTACTACTTCTTCTTCCTAAAATTTTATGCTCTATTGTTCTTCTTCTTTGACTTCCAATTCAGAAAATAGAGTAATTCAATCAAAACAAGTAAGCACATGAATCCAAAACAACTACTTCCATTTCTACACAAATCAGAGCAATTGATTTCACAAATCAAAAATAAAATAAAATACTGAGAAATATTAAAAAAAATCAAAAATAAAAAACATCTTCATCACCGGCGAGCCGGAAACCCGTTCTCACAGGTTTCCGCAGTCGGAAACCAGTGAGACTGGTTTCAGTTCTCATTGGTTGATGCGGAAACCAGAGCCTTTGGTTCTAATGCAGAAACTAGTGATGAGGAAGTTTCCAGTGGAGTTTTTCTGGTGATGGTCTGATGAATTTGTTGGTGGAGCTTGTTCTTGAGTTGATGGAGGCGTGGAGATGGCAAGTGCTGCGTCTGAATGAAGATGGAAAATGATTTCCCCCCCAAAAAAAAGGGGGAAGTCATTTTCCGAAAAAGTGGGGTAATTTTCTATTGACTTTGAGTTATTTTCCTTTGACTCCTATTTTCCTTGCCTAGCCAAACACCAAAAATCTGAAAAATAATTTCCAGAAATCATTTTTCGAATTTTCAAACACACCCTTAGTATATAATTGGAGGGTCTATTTGACCCTTTATCTCTTTGTTTTTTAAAGAAACAAATTTTAACGAAAATTATTATCATTTTAAAAAATTGTACATTGAAGTTAACATTGACGTGAAAATTAATATTTTGAGAAATGATAGCGAATGTACATTATAAGTTTGAACTCAAACTTAATAGCTTATTTTATACCTCGAGATTGATGGATGAAGTAAATTTCGAGATATGTCTTAATTGACTTATCTACCAAATGAATGTACATTATTATTGGAAATTTTAGCAAAAATGAGATTTTAAGTGGCAATTTTAGGGAACAAATATACACGGAGCCCTCTGTCAAAGTGCATTCTGGTTCTTCGTAGTGAAGCGAAAAAATTGATATATTGTACACTCAAAATGGATAATGAGTTGATGAGAAATTGATATTCAAAGTAGAACTATTTGAGTTGGAAACTGTAACCTTTTTCCGAGATTGGAATGTGGAGTGAGTTTTGCTCTAGTATATATACAAATGAGACGAAACAACCACTTCGAATGAAACAATCGCAAATTATTGTATGGCCGGGTCCAAATGTTCACAATTTACCTTTTAAAAATTCACAATTTGTATATTAACATATATGTAATTGATTACTTTATTTTGTATTCACAAGTTCCTTTCAAATACTACAGTAGTCACACAATATTAACAAAAAAACTATTATGTATTTTGACTTAGAAACACAATTTATATTCTAAAATTTCACAATTTTAATACTAAATATACACAATTTATACGTCATTTAGGACCAGGATTTATATTACAAGGTAGACTATGGTCGATGGTATAAAAACTCTAAAACAATCACATGTGTTCTAGTACATACCCTTTGGGTTCAAGTGATCTGATTCAGATTGGCCCAGCTTAGCGAGCAAGCAAAAATAGCCCAAGAAGTGTGTTTCCATGCAAGGAGACCAACCCAACAACAATGGTCTTACCATGAAGGTGCAATTGTGCAAAGGTGGACTTTGATTAAGAATGAGTATAAAATCTTTATTGTTAGTATTAAGTTAGTCAAATAATTTACTTAATAATCACAATATTTAAAGTTTGAGTTATATTGAAAACAATTTATTAACCTTTTGATTTAGATGACATAGTTATGAATAACTTAGATTATTTTACTTCCTTTGGTCCTTTAATGACTTGGATACTGACTAGGTATAAAAATCGACTTGGATACTGACTAGGTATAAAAATCGTTGGGATATATACTCACCAAGACTTGATAGAAGCAGATGGAGATTCTCAATCAATCCTTGGAATATAATATTCATTTCCTCCTTCATGGCAGCACGTCATGCACTTCATGACACCGATAAGAAGGTGCTTCTCACGTATTACTTTCCCATTATCAGTTCACAATTACTTAATTAATGTTTGACCAAACTATAATAATATGATATTTTAAGCTAAGGTAACCTGAACGTACTGTATATATACACCAAGAAACCTCAATAACGAACACGTACAAAAATACACCAAACTAACTGGGCGGGAATTAAGTGTAAGTGAAAATGAAGGGGTCTTGTATCTTGATCATCAGCTTCCTCCTCATCCTCGCAGTTGTGACTGCCTCGGCGGATGAAGGCACGCCGGCCGCCGGTTTCATCGACGACGTATTGTCTTTCAACTACTACACAAATAGCTGCCCGGAGCTAGAAAAAATTGTGCACAATGTTCTCAAGAAGTGGATCAAGGAGGATTACACCCTCGCCCCGGCACTCATGAGGTTGCACTTCCATGACTGCGCCGTTAGGGTAAATTAATTGCTCTGATACTAAATTAAAATTTCATTTAGAGCTGTCTAGCCAAGTTATTCAGGCTATTGTTAGTTTGATAATTACAAGGTTTCAAGTTTGACTTTTTATAAGGTAGCTCATTAACTTTCTTGATTTGAGTTGTTCTGTTCAACTTACCTACTACACATCCTCGATTTTCTCGAATAGTGACTGGTTATTTCTGTTTTCCTCGTCATCCAAAAGAATAATAAAATGTTACATTGATAATGAAATGTATGGTGTAGGGGTGTGATGGTTCCATCCTATTGAACCATGAAGGAAGCGAGAGGAGTGGCAATGCAAGCAAATCATTGAGGGGATTCGAAGTAATCAACGACATCAAGAAAGAGGTGGAGAAGAAGTGCCCCAAGACCGTCTCCTGCGCCGACATTCTCACCGTCGCCGCCAGAGACGCCACGCTCGCCGTCGGAGGCCCGTTCTGGATGGTCCCCTACGGCCGGAAAGACGGCCGCGTTTCCCTCGCCAAGGAAGCAGACTCCATGGTTCCCATGGGGAAAGAAAAAATCACAGATTTAATCGAGTTCTACCAATCCAAGGGCCTAAACATCCTCGACTTAGTCGTCCTTTCTGGTCAGAAAAGTCTAAATTGATAGTTGGACTGAAAATTTATGCTTATATATAATTTTAATTTGTTTTTTGGTCTTGGATTATAGGAGCACACACGATCGGGAGAACATCCTGCGAAGCGCTACAGTTCAGGCTGTACAACTACAACGGAACAAACGGAGCAGACACGACAATCAATCCTCGTTACCTAAACTATCTCCGAAGGAAGTGCAGATGGGCGTCGGAATATGTGAATCTTGACGCCGTTACGCCCAACACGTTCGACGTTCAGTACTACAAGAATCTGCAGAATGGAATGGGGCTTTTGAAGACGGACCAGTTGCTGTACTCCGACCAGAGAACGGCGCCGCTCGTCGCCGCCTTGGCCTCTCAGCCGTCGGTGTTTGAGCACCAGTTTGCGGCGTCCATGGTCAAGCTTGGCAACATCCAAGACTATGTGGATGATGATGGTGAAATTCGAGTTAACTGCGACTGTGTCAATAAGAATTATTGAGTTTTGTGTGTTTTATTTTGTCTTGGTTTTAATTTTTGTTTCCTTTTTGTAACTTTTAAAAATATTTCTACTACAGAAATTTTGATATGACCTTCCAAAAATATGTTGGTCTGTCTTTGACCAGTTTCAAAAAGAAGCTTTTTAATTTGGATAATAAGTTGGCTACTTTGATTGAGTGTTTTTATTTATTTATTTTATAATTTTAATTTAATGGTTGATATGACCTTCCAAAATTGGTGTGTCTTAAGCATTGCCACAAAAATGTAGGAAAATATATTATTATTTAAAACAAAAAGCTAGAAAAAAGGAGAATATTGTTTTACAACATTTGGTACGTCGGGCTTGATGCAATAAACTGGAGAGTGGATGGGAGGAATAAAGTGGAGTGAATCAGCATTATTGCAATCCGCGTTTATTCTTGTTCCACTTTGTACCATAAAAATGTGACACCTGGTGTAGTAATAACTAGTAAGCGTTAATATTAAGATCCTATCGAATCAAATTTATAACATTGTTGTTACTAAATTAATATCATAACTTACTTGACTGAGGTTATTTCTTAAACTCAAGCATTTGACATTACAAAATGTTGTGCGGAAGTTTGGAATGTCGTCAAGTTTAAACATCCTAAACTAAAATGTGATACTAACTATATATTACACAAGTATTATACAACATGATTGAAAGTCATCATAATATCATCATAAAAGCAAGATTTAAAACTAATTCTAATGCCACGCAACTATATGGGGGTGTTGGCAATTACAAAAAGATGATAAGTGCATTCTTAAAAAGTAAAATTTTAGATTAATTTCATTTTATCTTTAGTAGCATTGACACTACTTTTAGTCTTGTAGTATAAAAACAACATTATATTAATCCCTCGATTATTCTGTCTTCACTATTTTTTATCGTCCATCACAACTTCTGAAAAATATCCATTGAAAACAAGGACAAACTCATAATTTCTTAACATCCAGCTCTAATTTATACCTTTTGTAATCTTATAAACTTAAAGGAAGTCATAATTTACACTCTATTCATCGTGAAGGTCATCATCTTCATCATTAAGAATTGGTTGTGATGAATATAAATTAATGTTCTTTCTGAGTTTATACAATTCTATAAAATGTATAAATTAGAGTTGAATTGTGAAAAATTTCTAGTGTGCCCTCATCCTATCCCTTCCTTTTTTTTTTTTTTTTTTTTTTTTTTTTTTTTTTTTAAACCCCAAATCCTATTCCTAACAAATTAAAGATTTGCAAAAAATTATAGTAGAGGACAAAAAGTTGTGGAACTGAAATAGTCATGGGACTTATATTAGTTATTTTAATAGTCAAGGACTCAAGCACCAAAGACCGATGACCAAAAGCGAAATATATAATTAGTCCTAAATTTTTATATAATATCTTGATTTTATTGAAAAAAAGTAATGCAAATAAATACAAACTTCTTACCCAACTTTTTTCATCTTAGAACATTAAAGTAGGTATAAAAAAGAATAAAACTACATGTAATATAACTTTTACTTAAGGTAAAAAAAAATAAAATGTAAATGTAGTCTTCACATATGACCATAAAGTTTGCTATAACATTTGACCATGCAAATCCCTCTCTCTCTCTCTCTCAAACGCAAAATCAGAGAGCACGATATAGAACAACGTTAAAGTAATTCATCCAACTTTTCCAAACTTTATCATCACTTTCAAGATCCCTTCCCCGGCATCTCTCATCTTACTCACTCTCTCCTTCTCATCTCCAAACAACCTAAAAATCTCCATCGAATTCATAATAATTAGTAGCTTCGGCTCTGATCGATAAGCATGGCGTTACCACTCCAAAAATGACTTCTAAGACTCCCATTTCACTCGCCCTCCTCTTTCTCATCATCGCGGCGGCAATGGCGGTGGATGAACGGCAGCACAGTCTTGCCCAACCTCAATTCAGATCCATGGAAGAGAACCCTCGGCTAGTTGGCAGAAAGGTAGTAAAGGTTCCCAGTAATATTTATCGTTCCCCGGCGGCGAGATTTGCCTGGGGAGATAGTGGCTTGAATGCCGGCGCTCATGAAGTTCCCAGTGGTCCAAACCCTATTTCAAATAGGTAAACCGTAAACATTACTTCATCTTAATGCGACCATGCATGCTTAGTATTTGTAATATGATGTATACATTATAAGCCTGTGTTAGATGGCGGCTCAGAGGATCAGTTCAATATCTCACCATTGAAATATGATGTTGGCTGTTACGCAAGCATTTTCGACCTACTAGTTATAACTTTATCTCAACAATTGGAACATCAATTTATAGTACAGAGATGTGAAGTTGGCACTGGCTTTTTGTTGGGTGTTTTTGAGCAGTTTGTATATGTATGTATGGATCTTTTTCAAAGGCAATCATTTGGAGATTAGTATTTTATGTTTGTATAGATTGATCCGTATTCAAGTGATTTTTTTGTGATCATCATCATATGATTTAATTGGTACCCTCATCATTTCACTCAAAAAAAAAAAAAAAACAAAACAAAACAAAAAAAAACAAAAAAAATCAAATTATTATTATGAATTTCTCATCAGATATACGAAACAAAATTTGATTGATAATTAATTTTTTTTAAAAATGTTTTACTATTGTCTTTTCCTTTCCCCTAAACAATGAAAATTAATTGTGTGAAAAAAAAGTAATATTTCAATACCAAATATAACCATATACTAATACCTTTACTAATAAAGTTACGAAAAGAGTAAGTGAGTGAATTGTATTATATACGTGATCCTCATAGTAAAAGGTTCTGAATTCGAATCTTGCCAACATTATTCCAATCAAACTATCATTACCGAAAACAATTCCATGCTTATTAATGCAGATGATTAAGTTGATACCAGAACCAGAGACTGATCTCACTTATCCAAGAGCGGATCTAGCTGCCCCCCTCCCCCGCTCCTACCCCTTATATATATATATATATATATATATATATATATATATATATATATATACATACATACACGGTAAACTCTATAACTAGCTACTAAATATACATAAATTTTATTTTATTAAAGGATGATCTAGCCTAGATGATAAGGTATATGTTAGTGTCATAAATGTCATGGGTTTAAATTTCATTTTTTGGCTTTTTAAATATTAATAGTGAGATTATAATTGTGATTTATGAGATTAATTTCTAATTCTAATTAGGTTATTATGTATTTGTAATATTGGGGTTCTTTTTTTTTTTTTTTTTTTTTTTTTAAATATTAGTAGTGAGATGAGTGATTTATAATGTAACTTCTATTGGAACTATTATATCTAATTAATTATGTTTCATATTTTATTTTAAATTTTTTATCGCGTTTTAATGTTTTATTTAATCCCTAGTCAACAATATTTATAGTTCGGCCTCTAAGTGTTTCGTTTTTTTTTTTTCAAAACATTTCATTAGTTTTAATTTTAATATTTTGTCCCACTGAAGAAGATTTTTGGATCGGCCATTGCAGTCAGCCAGTCACCTATCACATTAATTGTTAAGAATTTTAGTAAAAAAAAAATACAGATCAATTTTATAATTATTATATTACAGTTTGTAATATTTATAAAATTAACACAAAACCTTTTTCTCCTTATTTTTAAGAGGTCTCAGCCATTGATCTACCCAATTGGATGGATGGAATCAGATCTCACTTTTTATCTAGGAGTTTATTATCACTTGAACATTTCCCCATATATATAAGATTGTGATCAAATGAGAACTACCCCTCCTGTAAGAACTGCTAACTACCTATATATTGTGCATCTTGTAATGTATATATAATTGTGCAACCGTTGATACCTTATTGTATATTCGTGCATAACTAATTGTGCACTTATAAAACATTTATCAAAATACACTGTAAAATATTTTCAATAAAAATGTAGTAACATTTTTATAATTATTTTATAATTATAGTTATGATTGTGAAATTTATAATGTCTAATTGTGTAATTAACTCATTTAATAATCTTGCTCCTATATATATATATATATATATATATATATATATATAACTTTTTATGGGGAGACTCCCATGCATGATGCATGCAGTCAAATACAAAGTGAATTTGAAATGGTCCCTTTTTCACTTTTATTCTTCCTTTTCAATTTTTCGGATGGCCTAAAAGAGGCAACGACAGCGGTCAAGAAGAGCTGCTGGTTAAAAAAGTGAAGTCCGTAGAATATAATCATCAAAAATATATTGCGCTATGGTGGTGCCAATTGATGGGCCCTTACATGGTGCGATAAGACTGCATGCAAGCCGCAATTTATATCCTACACCACCGGCGTATATTGCACTATGTGCCCAGATGCAAAACGATGTTGTTTTAATTTTTTTTTTTTGAAATTTCTCGCCCCAGTGAATGGCAGTAGGCTTTTCTTTAAAAAAAAAAAAACCCGCTGTTCAAGAATGTACATAATGTTATACTTGAATACACATAATGTTATACATGAATACACATAATGTTATAACAAAATATACATACTCTTTTTAAAAGATAATACACATAATCTAACATAATACATAATAAACATAAACTTTTAACATAATACACATCAACTCTTAACATAATACACACAAATTTTTTGATTCGGATGTACATAATTGTATAAAAACAATGTACATAATTGTATAAAAAATACACATAACTGTATGAACCAATACACATAACGTTGTGAACGAATACACATAACGTTGTGAACGAATACACATAATCTCAGCAACTTCCTACCGCGCCTCCCAACACGACCCCAAAACGACGTCGTTTTGGGAGGCGCGCGGCGCACAGTGCTATGTGCGCCGTGGTGTAGGATATAACGATTGCATGCAAGCGTAGATCAACAATTATACTTTGGACGCCATCCACAAAGCTTGTAGACTATGATCCAAAACAGCAGACACTATAATGTATTTAAACTGACACTGTTTCACGTATTATTTTTAATATATTATCAAATGAAACTGCAATTGAATTGAAATGAAACTGTAGTTGTGTTGAAATAAAATTGCAATGTATACAAAATGAAAAACTGAATAACAATTTCACATATTTAAGTGTGTATTGTCCAGCGAAATCGTAGTTATATCAAAATGATACTGTAATTGTGTTGAAATGAAACTGCAGTGTATATTTGATGTTTGGACCACAATACATTTTGGACCGCGGTCCACAGTATAATTTGCTAAGCGTAGATAGGGCCGATAACAAAATTAAAAAATGCATGTGCATTGTTTTTCGTGAAAGGTTATATATATATATATATATATATATATATATATATATATATATATCACTTCATATATATTGTACGAAATAATTATTGGACATCCACAATGATTCTCATCTTTACGGACTACGAAAAATTATTGCGTGAATCATGGTTTACAAAGTTGTGTGGACCACGGTCCAAAACAACTACATTTTGAAGTTAAAAAAATTCCATTAATCAATAACAACCTAACGCTTATGTGTTAGAATAACATATATTGTCAAATAAACATAAAATGTAATTAAAATGATACTTCAACGTTACTATAATGAAACTAGTATGTGCACGGACTTTATACTACTAAATGGACCATGGTCCATAGTAAAATGTGCCAATTATATAGGACTTGGACTAATTTGAATGAAATATGCATATTTCGGGCCAATTGCATATGAAGAGAAAGTGCTAAATTGAAAGGATTTTAAAAATTATGTGGGTCAAATTGCAAGAGAAGATTTTCAATTTAGCTAAAGATGAAATTTTAATCTTAGCTCCAGTTCTAGGAAACGGATTGGGCTGAGTTAAATATGCCCAAGAAAAAGCATTATCTGATCTACTAGGAAGTAGGAACAGAAGTCCACGTAAATGGATAAGTCCAAAACTAAGTATACTTATCAATCTTTAAAATCACTCTGAAAATGAGATATGGATCCGATCCATTTCTTATATCATAGATCAACCCGACCCAGGAATATAAAAGATATTCGTTAATTAGCGGCAAATTATGCTGTGTGCACCATGCATGGTGTACACGGTAGCAAAAACGACGTCATTTTGATTAAAAATGCGCGTCCGACTTAAAAAAAAAAAAAACAGTTTCAATTCCTGTCAACATCATTATGTTGTGCATAATTTGAACTATTTATCCAGAATGAATTAACTAAATATCCAGCATGAATGAAAAAAAAAACCAGTTTCGATTTTCGTCAACGACGTTATGTTGTGCATAATTTGAACTATATATCCAGAATGAATGAAAAAAAATTCAATTTCGATTTTCGTCAATGGCGTTATGTTGTGCATAATTTAAACTATATATCCAAAATGAATGAACTAAATATCTAGAATTTTATTTTTTAAGTCAAACGTTAAAACGACGTCGTTTTTGCAACTATTTCACCATGCATGGTGCACACAGTTGCACAGCATAACGACTCTTAATTAACGGTGTTGATAGCTGATAGCTAAGTTTGTTAGTAAATAATTGATATTTTTTTTTTGAAAACAAATAATTGATATTTAATTGTATTAATAATTGTTTTGACAAATTGATAGTATTAGCAGTTTGTAGTGTTCGAAAAATTAGAAGTTTATTATCAACGAGTAACTAGTAAAATTACTTTAAAGGACATTGATATATTATTTTATTTATTGAACTATCTTTAAATTATTTTTAATTTTAGGTATAAATTTTAAAATAAGTTTATTTTAATTATTATTGTTGTTGTTTTCACCATTGTTATTTATTCTTTAAATTATTGTTCTTGTTTTTAATAAATAAAAATAATTCAATATTAAAAATGTAAATTTGAATTAAAAATTGAATATCCAACAACTATTAAAGTAAATTAAACTTTAAAAAGAAAATGCACTCAACTGATATTTTTTAAAAAAAAATTTAGGTTATTGTCATCAATAAGTTAAAAAATTGTTTACCAAAGACTCTTTAATTTTGTCAAAAGAGTTAAAAACTTTCAAATAAGTCAAGAGTTGGTTGATATATAAGCTAAAAATTTTCAAATAAGCCTAAAATTGGTTGATAAGCGCTCTTTACTTTTTTTTTTTTTTTTTTGAATGCTACTGGCTCTATTACAATGTAGTATTTGTTCATAAACGCTCTTTACTTATAATTTATAATATAGGAAATTTTAAAATGTAGACACCCGTGCCAATGTACACCGCGCATTACCATCATGTACCGTACGTGATTCTATATATGGTGTATTATTGGTAATGATTTATGCAAAATCTAACTATAACCTTCTTGATAGGTTGTAATGACTAATGACATAAAGTTAAATTCGACCCTCCAAACTCACATCCAACAATTTACCATCATATACTACGACATAAGAATAGCTTTATGGGGAATACTTACATTTAAAACCAACATTGGGATACTTGTATAGCACACAACCAGGCTGTTCACTTCGTAAGTATAAATACGCAAATTAAAAATCATATAATAATATAATCCAACAGTGAATATATAGAAGCTTTTAATTTTGAATTGGACGATAAGAATGTTGATGCTCTCGACCGATAATCCCATTATGCTCTCCATCTAAAATTAAAGAAAAGAATGCAGTAGTTTTAGCATTTTTCTAGATTTCGTATAACTTAATGTATACACTTACATAAACAAATCAAAGCTGCGCCTATGAACACATATAATTCTCGATCAGAAATCATCATCAGCAATCCCATGCAATAAGTTGATCAATCGGATTTACATTCGAATACACCCCACAAGGCATCAACGCCGCATCCATGAACTCAAAATCAAAGTTCGACGCCGCATCGAACATGTTTTGTCCGCCATTATTGAACTCATCACTGTTAACCTTGTACAATTGCTCCTGTTCCTGTCGTTCTTCTTGCGGCTCCGGCGGCTCAAACCCCTGCGCCGGTTGAAACGTAGTGTCGGTTCCAAACACGGCGCCGTCGTTCCCGGCCATGATTCCGAGCCCCCCGGCGGCCGCCGCAATCAGGGAAGAAGTAGTGCTCTCCATTGAAGAGCTGCAGCTTCCGAAATCCATGATGGTGGTAGGGTTTTGGTAGTCGAAGGTAGTGGCGAGCTGATCATTCGATGTGGGAATCATCATAGTGTTATTAGTGTAATCAGGTTGGTGGAAAGGGGGATTAATAATGGAGGAAAGGGCAGCTTTCATTCCCATGGGAATCACCTCTTTAGTAGTGTCTATGGTGAAAGTTGAAGGGGATAGTTGATGATGATGATGATAAGAGTTGTTGTTGTTGGGTTTGGGTTTGTGATGAATCTTGGATTGATTTGGAGAGATTGAGAGAAGATTGTGGGTGTTGGGATCTAAGCCTTGAGCAATAAGCTTCTTCTTGATACAAGAATTCCAGAAGTTCTTCACTTCATTATCAGTCCTCCCTGGCAAATGTTTCGCTATCTGCGCCCATCTGTTCCCCAGAATCCTATGAACATCTATGATTGTCCTCTCTTCTTGCTCCGTAAAAGACCCCCTCTTTAGATCCGGCCTCAAGTAATTTATCCACCGCAGCCTGCAACTCTTCCCGCACCTCTGCAACCCTACACACAATCATAAAAAACCTTAAAAACCCTAAAGAGCGAGTTAACACCCAATTTAGTCATCGACTATAATAATGTTCCTAAACTTCAATCGTTTACCCAATTGGGTCATCTATCAAACTTTCTGTCTGTTAACGGTTAGAATCAAATCAAGAAAAGTCAATATATATAGTTGAGGACTGAATTGGTAAAATTAAACCAATATAAGATGATAAGCTGAGAAAGTAATTAAAGCACCTGAAAGTTTAGGCACAGCGCTCCAGCAGCCATGGCCATGGGAGGTGATGTGTTGAATGAGTTTCTCATCTTCTTCGGGAGACCAAAGCCCCCTCTTAACCTTCTGTTTGCTGCAGCAGTGATGACCCATGCCTGCCCGCCCGCCCGCACTCAATTATCCGATCACCACCACAAGAGTGGAGCATCTATATATATATATACACTGTGGGCGGCTTCTCTCTCTCTCTCTCTCTGGTATTTACTTCTCCGGGTAATCATATTCTCGTACAATACTCCTACACATACAAACACGCACAAATAGAGAGAGAGAGAGAGAGAGAGAGAGAGAGAGGGTAGAGTTTTTCTGTGTTGTTTTTCAAAATAATGTTATACGTGTGTGACTTAATTAGATGAAGTAGACATGTTTCTTTCTGTTATTTTAATCAATGGAGAGAGGTGATGGAATATTAACTTGGGGTGTACTCATGAGAGGACCACCCCACAGCTCTCATTGAGTGCTATAACAGCTTCAAAGCTAGCTATGTCTTCAACCATTCCTCTCATCTTCATTATCACTCTTCTTTCACTTGTAAAATAATTAAACACTATCAAATTAACCACTGGGTTCTAAGTTCGACCCCCTATAATAACGATCTATTAGTCTTTTTGGTTTGATCTAGCCAATTATGTGCAACGTAAGCTGGTCTAGTTCTTTGTGGTCCTTTGATAGTTAAGGTCACAAAGTAACGTTTCTCGTTAAAAAAAAAACACTATTAATGTACCACTTATTGTTAGTAATGATTTCTAATTGTACACACATGCATCATCATATCATTATGTATACAATTATACAATGATACTAGATAGTGTCAATTGACCCTATAATTTAATTTTCTATAGCGCCAATCAACACTAATGTTGATAGTATATAATTGATTTTTTAAAAAAAATACATTAGATTTTTTAACTTAGGTCATACTGATCTAAGTCCTAGAACCCTGCTCCTATAATGATATTTGCTGCAGCAATGACTATTAATGCTATAAATATAATAAACAGTTTGCCAAATGACTTCTACTCTACTTTGCTGTCTTGTGCACATCCCCCAGTGTCAATTTTTTGTTCCCCAAAAGTAACGCATTGAGCCATGAGATAAAGACATGCAAATTCACCAACATGTTCAAATAAAAAAGATTTTAATTCTAAACCATAGTTTGGAGCAATTGATAAGTACGATGTGTTGTTAATTACGCATTTAAAACATCTAAATACATGGTTGGAAATTATGGAATTTTTGATCACAGAAAGTGATCTTAAATCAAGTCAAAAGTTTGTTTCGATCACTTTTGGTATCCGGAAAAACCTTTGTTGCTATTTCTGACCACTTTTTACTTTTAACTTGATTTAAGATCACTTTCAGGTGGTCGGAAATTTCATAATTTGCAGCAATGATAATCAAAATTATCATATCAAAATTAGACCACCCAAATTTAAATATAGGAAATTAAATAGGCACCTTTTGTTGTTTCCTTGCCATGGATATTTAAACTAGATAGAAACGGTTCATGTGAGAACATATGTCTAAGTGATAATATGCAAACTCGTAAAAGTTCACACTACTGAAAATTATAGAATTTTCGATCACCTGAAAGTGATCTTAAATCAAGTCGAAAGTCTTGTTCCGACCATTTTTGTTATCCGGAAAAATCTCCTTAGTTGCTATTTCCGACCCCTTTTTACTTTCAACTTGATTTAAGATCACTTTCATGTGATCGGAAATTCCATAATTTCCAGTAGTGACCATATGCAAAATTCAAAAACTCAAGATTTACAGCCCCTAAACTAGATAATGGTCCAGGTTAATATGGCACATATGAAAAATATATTTTTATAAAAAAATATAAATTAATTATGTGAAGAAGAGCGAGAAAAAGAATATATACAAACTCGTGTATCTAGCTAACTTGGTCCCAAATCACCAAACATGTATAATAAACTTTTGGCTAATATAGTGAATAGAAAAACGAACTGGCTTGTACATATCTTCATCCAAATTAAATTATATTATTATTCTAAGTTTTCTTATTGGTTTGAAAAATTGTGGTCGTACGTGCGATTTGTATGGACAAACAAAACATAACCCTAGTACAAGAAATGTCTTAACCATATGGAGGTGAAAGGATATGATAGACACAGCATATATTATATGGCTGTCAAGTGAAATCATTACAACAACTAAGCAATACCAAATATTTAATACAATTTTAACCTACATCCAAGCAACGACATTTCATATTCACGTATACGCATTATTTGTCCCAAATATATGCTTACCCATCTGGCTAGGTCAAAAAGAGTATTGCATACACACAAACCTTTACATCTACATCTGCGTGTGTATATCTTACTACTGAAAACCTTGCAATTTTGATCGTTTAAATTGGTCGAAATCGGTAGTTTTCAGCAGGAGCGGATCCAGAAAATAAATGTTAGAGGGACCAGCATTATAACAAAAATTTACAATGGCAATCAACATCAGTACCGATCATACATAATATCACTATATATATATATATATATATATATATATATATATATATATATATATATATATACATAATTATACTATGTATTATTGATAATAGTTACATAACGATTCGCATTGATGTCAATCGATACTTTATAATTTTTCACATAACACAAAATATATGCAATAATAATCTTCCGTGTCACTCTTTTATCAAATAAAAGTTGTCAATTATTTTGTTGGCAACATTTTTTTTTACATAATTAATTAATATTCATTTTACTAATTAATTTAATATTTCAAAATTTGAGGGATGAGGACGAAACTCAAAAGTATGACTTAAAGAACCAATATTAACATTAGTTTTTTCCAAATTTCAACACTAAGCTTTTGAATTAGCAAAGTTACATCCTAAAAGTGTAAATAGATAATAAAAATACATAATAACTAACTAATTTATTACATGATTTATTTCTTTTTATTTGTTAAATTAAATTTGGACTTTAATATATATATATATATATATATATATATATATATATATATATATATATATATATATATATTTGGGCTTATATAATATATACAGAGTAAATATAGATTTTTAAAAAATAAGGAGGGCCAAAAGAGAATTTTTTTTCTCTCCCAATATAATAATATTAGTCTATTACAGATCACCAGTTAAAGTGGTCAAAAAATTAGATCAATTAGGTCATTCGCATGTTATTGACCCTAATTTTTTACCACTAATGATTGGATAAAAAAATTAATAATAAATTTAGTCATGATAGTTTTTTTTTTTTTTTCTTTTTTACAACTAGGACATTCTAGCATAAACCCAGTTGGGTTTCTAAACTAGGTTTTTGCCAGAAACGTTTCTACGTCCAAAAAACACACATACACACACACTTCAGCCACCCGCGCTCTAGTAAATTTTTTTTTTTTAAATCCTATAAAATTTTCTTCCACTTTTTTTAGTGTCTAGACAAAAATTTATAATTCTTCAATAGCATGTAAATCTTGCCACACAATAAAGATTCGACTAATTAAGAGAGTATTGTGTTAGTGCATTAATGAATTACGTTTCAACCAAGCTCAACAACGTAACAACACATGTTTAGTCCGTGCAGAGAACATATATACCACACTCACAATATGTGATAGAAGATTCAAACTTTGATACTTATTCAAATAAAAGTTGTAGATGCAAATTAACTAAACCAGGCCAAAGGGTTTAAGGCATTGGCGATAATATAATAAAGTACAGGATTCCAAGTTTGACTTCTTAATGGGGTTGCATCTTGGCCTTTTTAGTTTGAATTGATCAGTTATAAATAATTTAGATTGGTTTACTTATTTGTAGTTCTTTACTGCCTAAGATCACAAGATCATACATGTTTCACCTAGTAGATGATATGTACGTTTAAGTAGCAGCTAGGCTTTTCTGATAAATCAAAGTAATAAATATTTTTTTTTTTGACACAATCAAAGTAATATAATAACGTAAGAAAAAGGAAAAGTTTCCCAATTGGATGTTGCCGACGAATAGGGAATTTCATTAAAGTATTGAGAACGTTATAATGCCTTTACTGGGGGGTAATGATACAAAAATGTTACCCTAACAAGAAAAGAAATGTGCTATGGGGTTACGTTTGCTGTTTAGGGGAACCTACTGCATTATATTGTTAAAGAATAAGCATAATTATATGTTAAAAACAGAATAAATATAACTATGCCATTATGTGTTAGAGTAATGGGGTATGGTAGGGTTATGTGTTAAAACTATAGTTAATTGAGTATTATAAATTGAGCATCATTTAAGAATGCATAAGTTTTTTTTTTTTTGTTTTTTTTTTTTAATTTTGTTAAACTGATGAACAATTTTACGAGGGGTTGTTGTTATATGCTAATTTAAGGTACCTCGCAACACATCTTGGGTCAGCTAATTGTAACATGTTATATCAAGTATCAACATTAACCATAAGTGATGTAGTATATACAGAGGTATACTCTACAGGGTACGGTACTAGGTCGGTTCCGGGTTCGGATCCTTTGCCTAACTTAGTCGTTGGAGTAGTAAGATCCCGGTATACGTGACATTGGGTCAGAGATGTCCGAAATAATAGCTAAGGTGTAGAAATAGCCAAAAGTCATCTCTGACAGCAATAAATGTAGTATTTATAGCAGTAGCGAGGGAACAGGTTCCGGGCCGGCGGCATGTGTAGTTCGTGGAGACCATGCACAGGTTCCGGTCGAGGCCCAAGAGACCTTGGCCGCGTGTCACGATAATCCTGAGCACACCGCACCACGCCATGATCGAGGCACTAGTCCGTCGGTCAGACCAAGATGGGTCGGTAAAACTGAGATCGTGAAGCCATCCCCGAATCTAACCTTCGGTCAAGCCTGGTGGGCATGGAAGGTCGGGAAGGCATACTCTCAAGGTCAGCGGTGATCGGATCGAGCATGACCCGCATTGGGGGTCCGAGACTGACCACCGTATAGGCATAATATCCGGGAATAATCCCCTTTTAATTTAGTAAATTCTTTTTTAGATACAATATTGACATCCCTAGCTACCATTGTAAGATTGATCTGGATGCGGTTTGAATTGTACCCGTAGAGTTTGACTCTTATTACTTCGATTGGGCCAAAGTTTAGAGGACAAAGTCCAACATTTTGTCATCGAAACGTGACGCTGATTGTTATACATGTATAAGAAAATAAAGTTGCACATTCGCTACTAGTTATATCTTTTAATGTAGTGATAAATGCTTGATTCTTACATCCTCCTGTAACCTTGTAGTTGTATTAGTAGCCTACTTACCAA